GAACTGCATGTCCGGCCTCTGGTTACCATTCTCGTCGAACTCAAGGAAGAAGTCTTTGCCCAGATGATTAGAAGAGTTCCCAGGCGGCAGAATCTGCAAACTGGGCGGCCTTGTGACTGTCTTGGCCACAGCGTTTTCATCTGACTGTGGGTGGTCCGCCGAAAAAGTTTTTTTCCATCACACCTCCCTTCGCTGCCTTTTTCCTTGGCTGCCATTTTTTCTTCATGGCCTCCTCAGCCTCCTGCGTACGCTGGACCGCCTCATCCATTGGCAGCAGTTTCAACTTGCGTTTGTGACCCCCCTCCTGCTTGGTCCCCCCCTCCTGCTTCGTTCTCTTCTTGTCCAAAGCACTTCTCCTCTCTTGCCTGATGTTCCTCTTCTTCTCAGCCAACTGTATTGCATCGGCATGTGCCGTCATGGCCGTCATTTCGTGGTGCATTCCCCCACGCCCTCGATCCGCATCCCAATGTTCATGTCCTGGCGGGAGCTGTTGCTTTCGCTTGCGACCCCGATGCACATCTGCATACCCTCCCTCGCCGATCGTTTCCTCTTTTTGCCCTTCATCCTCATATTCAATCCCTAGCTCACCCTCTAATTCGCCACCCCTCTTGCTAATTGTCTGCTCACTCTCTACTTCCGGTTCTTCCCCACGCTCTCCTCTGTCATCGCCACCCTCCTCATATTCTTCGCGTTCTTCATCGCGCTCCGAATCTTCCTTGCTGTTCTCCTTGTCGTCATCTCCAAAATATTGCGGCCGGCTTGGAATGACGAAGTCATAACGTGGTGGGTGGACCAAGGAAAAGGGTTCCTTGGTTGACGTTGTTCTGGACTACACAGGGACTGACGGCATGATTTGGCCGCGACATAGACCTTTCTCCCCGATCTGCCCAGATTTCGGAACTCGCGTTGCAGCAACCGGAGTCCGCACGAATGCAGCAAACGGCCCAAGTCCGGAGACTGAGGCCGTGCCCAACTGCAAAGGGCCCAAGCACCCTCAACTGTAGTCTCGGGTCTGGGCACACGGACTGAGGCCCAACTGAAAGCTAGTAGGATAGAACTAATGCAAGGCAAGTGTGTGAACCCCAAATGCGAAATTGACAACGAGGGCCTCTCATGATTTTATCAGGCCCGCCTTCAGTTAGCGCGGGCACATGTGCAATAATGGGGCCCTTAGGCCTGCCGAGGAGCCAAATCCTCGCAATGTTTGTAAATAAGAAAAGAACGCCACACACCGTTTTACATGCTGCTAGTCGGTCCGAGCCCCAGGCAAGGCCATTATCTGGCCCGCGCGACATTCAGGGTGATTTTTTTTTATTTTTTTTTTTTCAGGTGTTTGTTTTAGAATGTGAGGGGCGCGCAGCATTAGGGGGCCATCGGCCAAGGCATCAGCACGCCGTCGAGGGCGGACACCTATAGTGAGATGTCTCGACGAGGGAGCCGTCTCCAAGGATGACGAAAGCACGCTTTTCGGCTCAGATATGTGGTCGTCGGGATGAGCCACCCGCTCCTGCCCTGCAACCACATTACTATCGAAGAACGCGAAAAACAATGGAAGGTCCGGCAACGTCAATTTTTTCGTCCCCGACGGATTGAAAATATCAAAAAGCATCTTGTCGTACCCAGCGTGTTTGGCCCAACGAATAGCAACGCGTTTGACATTTGCCATCCGCTCACCTTTAGCGTTAAGGACCACCGTCAACTCCAACATGGCCAACGGTGAATCTCGTTCACTCCACTTCACCACACTGCCAATCGGCACAATGTTATCTTTGATCACCACGTACAGAACCAGTCCACTCGAGGGTTCCCCGATTCCACCCACCCAGTCCAACATCCAACACTTGTCTTTGTGGTCGACAACGGGCACCTCGTCTCCCACACCTGCTACGGACGTTTCACCAGACCTTTTACGCCTGGGCACAACGTCTATCGCAAATTTCCCCTGCCGACCACCAGTCACCTCCTCCTGACCCGCAGCCCCGCTACTCATCAACACAGCCACATCCGGTCCAGAACCGCGAACACGAGTGGAAGGAGTGCCTGTAGAAGGCGCACCCCGCAGCACCGGGGTTCGTTGGCCCTTAGACCCTGGTGTCTCATCAGTCCCCACGCCAGCGATTGGTGTCCCCTTCGTTTTTTTCGGAGATTGCTCCATTCTCCTTGAACTTCTGCTAGCACGTCGTTTGCTTGGCTTCCTCTCCCGATCCATCTCGAGCAGCTAGTCGCAGCTGAAAGAAAACGCACAAATGCGAACGCAGTCATTGCCTTGCCGATGCGCAAACACCTTAGGAATCGAAAACAACAATAGACAAGAACATGCAACAACAGAAGGGACACTGGACGCCCATCGTATTGAACTCGACGAACAGAGTCGGACACGAGGACAATAGCGGGGCAATATAGCGTGACGACCGAAGTGTCCCTTCAACTCGTCGTCGTGTCCGACTCGACGGAAGGAAGCGCACGTCATGAGGTCGCCGAAAGACGCACGCACCGTCCGGCGACTTTCGTGTCGAACACGACAAACAGCGGACGGCAAATCACAGTGTCGCTGTCGTGTCGAACTCGACGGTCGGAAGCGGACGTCATGACACGATCGTTGAGCCCGACACTACAAACAGCGGACGACACATGTCGCGGGCGAACGACCTGCACAGTCATCCAACTCGTCGTCGTGTCCGACTCGACGGTCGGAAGCGGGCGTCATGACACGGTCGTCGAGTAATCGAACACGAGAACAGAAGATGAGAGATGTCTGTGGGAGAACAACCCGCACGATCGAGTTGGACACGACGACGAATGCAGGCCAACATCGTGTGAGCACGACACTGCCCCTTCAACTCGTGGTTGTGTCGGTCTCGACGGTCGCAACTGTAGTTCCCCAGCGCCCACAACATGAGAACAACAAGCAGATACTGGGTATTTTTCGCAAGAAATCAAAACATGAGAACAACAAGTTTTTTCGCAAGGAAACACAACATGAGAACAACATTCAGACACTTTGTACTTTTCGCTCAATGCGATGTCCATGTAGATGCAGTCCGAACAAATGGAAAGGCAACGATGTGTCATTGTTGAACGCTCAACCAAAAAAACAGAACAGCAATCAGACTCTCCGTACTGGTTTGTTGCTCGTTCATGTGTCGTCGTTCCCGGATTTCAGGATATCGAAAAACAAGATCAGGACAACAATGACACACTGCGTAGTTTTTGCAACAAAACACAACATGAGAACAACAACCAGATACTGCATATTTCTCTCAAGAAAACACAATATGAAAACATCAATCGGACACTTCGTACTTTTCGCTCAATGCGAAGTCTATGAAAATGTAGCCCGAACAAATGGAAAGGCAGCGATGTGTCATTGTTGAGCGCACAACAAAAATAAAAAAACTCCCAACAGCGATCTCAGCACATCGAGAAACACAGCGCCGGAAGCGCCGGACAAACTTGCGAAAGTATGACACGTCGGAAAGTATTGAACGACAAAGGGGACCGACGAAGGCTATCTATCGACTATGGCGAACTCTCCCATTGTTGCGGCCATTCAATATGCCAAGTGCCGATCCGAAGGTCAGCCGCTGCGGCTCGTCGACGGTAGAGTTCTCAGCAAACACAAAAATGTATGTCATGCGCACGAACCCGGAGTTTTCGACGAGAGAACCGTCTATAGCATCCCGAATAGAAACGACTTTAGTCTCGACCTCGCGCCAAGCGTCCACGTCCTCCGCCTTGCCACCGACCACGATATCTAGTTTCCCATCGACCTCTCTGGGAACTAAACTCATGTTCGTTCCGGACATAGACAACTCGTTCCTGGACACATACACGACAGCGTCTATCAAGTTGTGCGCCCTGTCCGAACAGGCAATGCAGAGGACCCTACAGAAGATGAAGCATCTCACACGCAATCTCACACAACAATATGACACTGCTCGAGGTGACAGACCCGGAGATCGTAATGGATACTGATCGAGGAATCGAGAATGTCGCGCACAGTCGAGCAACTCCTGCTTCATAACACGGCACCATGTGGGCGGCGAGGTTGTCACGTATTCGCAATCTAAAACACCGAAAAGGTGGTTAAATTTCAACTTCTTACACAAATGACGCAAACGCACGGGACCCAACACATCGGACGACACAACAATACGTTTTCCGAATTTCAACATATTGGCGAACTCATAATCGCCCGCCCACGGGCACTTCTTCGTCATGTTCACCCACTCATACTCCTCCCATGAGTCGAAATGTTTGTCGACAAACGGGACGACTTTCATCCAAGGATCGGACTCGAAGTCATCGAGACTAGCGCCGTCAAAGGTTGTGTTGCCCAGACATCGTCGGACGTGTAGAGCGCAAGGTGGGAAAGGATGTGCCTTTCGTGCACGCCAACATTCTGGGGTCATCCAATGAGAGATCTCCATAGCGACAGCGAAGCGCGCTGCATGGCATAAGTGCAACGATCAACAACAGCATAGAACAATTGTCCTCGCCCCAACAATGCAAACAATCCAGGCCGCACGACATTGCAATGCACACAATGTATGTGCACAATCCATGCACACAATCCACGCACGCAATCTATGCACACAATCCACGCACACAAGCAGCCCAGGGCACGCACACGATCGACGCCTCCCCGCACACGCCGCATACGATACAAACAGCCCAGGGTCGTGTCGGACTCGACGATCATGTCGCACTCGACAATCGTGTTCGACTTGACAAAAGGGTACGATCGTGTTGGACTCGACGGCAGGGGATGATCGTCTTCGACTCCACGATAGGGCACGATCGTGTTGGAGAAGGGCACAATCGTGTTCGACTTGACGACAGGGCACGATCGTGTTCGACTCGACGACAGGGCACGATCGTGTTCGACCGGACGACAGGGCACGATCGTGTTCGATTCGACAACAGGGCACGATCGTGTTCGACTCGACGATCGTGTCGGACTCGATCGTGTTCGACTCGACGATCGTGTCGGACTCGATCGTGTTCGACTCGACGACGATCGTGTTCAACTCGACGATCGTGTCGGACTCAATCATGTTCGACTCGACGATCGTGTTCAGCTGGACGATCGTGCTCAACTCGACGATCGTGTCGGACTCGACGATCGTGTTCGACTCGACGGCAGGGCACGATCGTGTCGGACTCGACGATCATGTTCGACTTGACGGCAGGGCACGATCGTGTTCGACTCGACGACAGGGCACGATCGTGTTCGTCTCGACGACAGGGCACGATCGTGTTCGACTAGACGATCATGTCGGACTCGACGATCGTGTTCGGCACAACAATTCGCTCGGTCGTCGAGTTCGATTCGACGACCGGCCAGATCGCCGTGTCCGAGACGACTCCTGCTCCGGTCCGTTGTCGTGTTCGACTCGATGGCACTCCTCCAGTCGTCGTCTTTGGCACGACGATTCGCTCGATCGTCGAGTTCGATTCGACGACCGACCCGATCGCCGTGTCCGAGACGACTCCTACTCCGGTCCGTTGTCGTGTTCGACTCGACGGTGCTCCTGTCGTCGTGTTCGGCACGGCTCCTATCAACTAAAAGTGCCACGTGGCGTCATGTGGTTGCATTTGGGCTTGCTGGTTGTGTCCTCACCGTCTGATCTTGCGGACTTGGGGTGCTCTGCTGTGGCTGCGCGTCACGTTCTGGGTTAGTCTGCTCGCCTCTGTCGTCGCGACCTGCGACCGTCGGCACCTTCGTTGTGGTCCGCCGTCGTGTCGCGCAAGTGGTCTGCTATGCACGGACCTCCGATGTGTCAACGAATCCCTGTGCTCCGTCGCCGCGCCATGCACGTAGTCTGTTGTGCAAGAGCCTTCGCTGCGCTGCGTTGTTGCTGCGTTGCCCACCCGAAACCGAACAAAACCGAAAATGGGAAGTGGTGGACCCCCTCCATATATATAGTTTTTCGGGTGGGCCCTCCGGACGCACCTGGTGGCCGTCCGATCCGGGAATGCGGACGGTCGGGATGATCGGCTGGCTGCAGGCGGGGATCTTGTGGTGCGGCCAGTGGACCGTCCTATTTTCCCCCGGTGATTCTTAGTCGTCGAATCGTCCGTCGACCGTCGACCACGATCATCTTTTCCCGTTGGGCAAAGCGGAGGCGCGGGGATGATGTTTCACGCCATAGTACAATCCCATCCCTCTGTTGCACAAGAGCGTTTCCCCCACATGAGTAGCCGCGACCTTTTTTCAGCGCTCCGTTGTTCGCGTTCTGGGAGAATCAACGCAGCAGTCCGCCAGCGTTAACACGACAACTGGCCCACTCTCCAGGTTAGTGCCGCTTCCGCCAACCCGGCTCCCCCCAACCCTCTCCCCCCCCCCCCATTTCACTAGCTTTTACACTTTGTCTAAATCTCGCGTTTTGCAATATGTGTCCATATTGTGTAAGCTTTATATTATACTTAATATATGACTTCTTGGATTTTGCGATAGAGTGGATGTATTCATGTTATGAAAGGCTGAGATAATATACAATAATTGACTCATGAAACTTGTATTGATGCAGATATGCAATTTTTTTTTGAAATAGAATCATGGATGTATTCATGTTTAACTTATGAAAGGTTGATATATACAATAGTTGACTAATGATACTTGTATTGATGCAGATATACAATTTTCTTTGGAATACTTAATTATACTATATTTGTCAATAAGATGCTAAAATCCTCTGCTTTTGTTGTTAATTTGCTTTTTTTCTGGCAAATTTGTTAATTTCATTATGTTCACATTTTACAAAACATTTCATTTTTCACTAAAACACCGTTTCAATCAATCAATCAATCAATCACATCCATTGCTGCTCGCCATCGTCCTCCCCCCCCCTCCTCCTCCTCCTCCTCCTCCTCCTCCTTCTCCTCCACGCCCTCCTCCTCCTCCTCCACGCCCTCCTCCTCCTCCTCCTCATTGCCCTCCTCCTCCTCCTCATCGATTCCAGTTGATCTGGCCCGTTATTTGGTCTATCTGGGGGAGGGATGGCCGTGCTTGCACGTGGGACTTGCAATCTAGGATTGTTATTCAAGATTTGTTTTGATCGATTGATTGATTGATGGATAGGTCGATCCCTGCCTATACGCCGCTCGAACGCCTATTATGCGGCGATCCAAAAACAGAATCGATTACATAATCAATTCTGTTTTGGAATCGTCTGAAACAGGTGCCTACACGTGGCGGTTCGCCACGTTCAAGTGCCCGTTTGAAGCGTTTCCAAAACAGAATCGATTACGTAATCGATTCTGTTTTGGAAACGCTTCAAACGGGCACTTGAACGTGGCGAACCGCCACGTGCAGGTGCCTGTTTCAGGCGATTCCAAAACAGAATCGATTACGTAATCGATTCGGTTTTGGAATCGCCGCATAACAGGCGCCTCGCAGCGGCAAAGTGGCCCGTGCAGGTCCCCTGGTCAGGCGCTTCCAAAATGAAATAGATTATGTAATCAATTTCGTCGTGGAAGCGTCATACTGGCGTCCGAGCGGAGTAGAGGGAGGGAGAGATGGAGAGATCAATCAATCAGTCAATCAATCAATCAATCAATCAATCAATCACATTCATTGCTGCTCGCCATCGTCCCCCCCTCCCCGCTCCTCCTCCTCCTCCTCCTCCTCCTCCTCCTCCTCATCGATTCCGATTGATCTGCCCCGTTATTTGTTCTATCTTGGGGAGGGAAGCCAGCTGCCATCGCCACACGACTGATGGTTCGAACACCGTGGCAGCTGCCATCCTCATCACGTGCTTGTGTGATGCGTACAAGCTGATCTCAACTTCACGCTGGAGTTAGCCTAGCTTTCTCTCCAACCCAAAATGACGGTTTCAAGAATTAAGGGAAAAATAAATAATAATAATTTATTAATTAAAAAAAGGCGAGCGAGAAACATCGACCGATGGTCGTAAGGACATTTCTTCGCGGGGAAAGAAAAAAGGAGGGAAATTGTTTTCGAATACGGAAGAAAAGGAGGAGGAGGAGGAGGAGGAGGAGGAAGACAGACCGTGAGGCAGAGGACCGCGCACTCGTATTTGAGGATGAAGACGACAGACATAGCAAAATGGGAAAAACATATATATATACAGACGCCTGCATGACACGGACTTGAGCGTTTTCAAGATAACTTTCAGTGCCTGAGTTTTTGTCATGCGTACGAAAAAGGTTTTGCAATGGCTCTTTGGATTTGCATCTTCTC